TATAAAGAAGTTTTGTAATTATTCTTGCTATATTAACTATAATTTACAGTTCAGTTTTTGTGAAAAAAATGGTACAGGTAATCGTCATATTTGTAAATTATAGTTACTAAAAACAATAAACATAATAAAAATTAAAGATAATTATTCCAAGTTTGATATAATATACTGTATTGGTAACCATAATTATAGTTATTAATATAATATTTTAAAACTAGGATATTATCCAGCAGTAAATATACAACAAACACAATGAAGTAAACATCGAATTCCTAATAAATATAAAGTTCAAGTCTTGATATATAAACAAGATGTTATATGTCAAACAAATTATCAACTTGATAGAAAAGTTAAATTTAAAGTAACTTGGCAAGATAAAACTAGAAAAAAATATAAAGTAACTAGTACAAAATCCTCTAGTAATGCTACAAAACAATTCATATAGGTAAAAAAAATCAATTTAATAATAATAATTATTATTTTAATAATAGTAAATTTTTTTAATAGGAATTGATGCAAAATAAAAAGATTAATTTATCCAGAGTAATTCTATTTGGTTTGAATTTAGAATGCCTTGAATTACGTTAAACAAATGAACATTATAAAAGGAATTTTAAATATCTCAAATCAGTTGCACAAAAAAATTCTTGTTTAAAAGAATTTGCTTCTGATATTCATACTTATTTCAAAGATTTGAAAAGTATAATTTGACAGATGCAAACTTGAATTGTCTAGAGTTGAATATTTTTAATGAATAAGTCAAAGTCAAGTTTACTGAGTCAAATGATGAATCAGCATCTCTAACTTATCTTGATTCATATATTTATATATATAACAGAAGATTAATCTCACGGGATAGTTATAGATATTTAGCAGCAATTCAACCTTCATTAGAATGTGAGCATACTATATCAGCACAATGAAAGAAAATTAATAAAATTATGCAAGAAAAAATTCTAATTAAGAGTTTTAATATTAATTCTATATATGAATTTTCTTTTATTATTGAAGAAAATAAAGATATATATATTAATAAAACTCAAATAAGAAATGGTACAATACGATCTTTAACTGCATTATTAATTACATTAATTCCTGATCTAACAGCAGAGGATAATCTAGTTTTATCTAGAGGAGATATAATTAAAATTAAACTTAGTAGAGATAGACGACAAGTAGGCCGATATAATAATCATATAATGCTAACTACATGTATTTTAAATGAAAAAATGAAGTACTTAGTCCAAATATTCAATATTGGTAAGTATTATATAATTTATATTATATATTATAATTTTTTTAATTTAATTTATTAAAATTTAAAAAAATTTATTAATAGTATTTGTCTTTATCTGAGAACTGAAAAATACAAATCGTTATTAATTGCACATCAACAAATTATTGATAAATTAATTATTTTATATTAAGAAGGTTTTACAGATAGTAATAATATTAATTGGAAAATTGAATTCTGGTTTATAGCCGATTGGAAATATATGTTATTAGTTTTAAGAATAAATAGACCAACCTCAAATTATTTCTGCTTATAGTGTAATTGTTATAAAAATGATCAGTAGGATATAAATCAAACTTGGCAAAATACAGGAAATTCTAAAGGTATTATATTTATATTAATATTATATAGTAATAGTATTCAAATTCAGATAATTTGTTTATCTAAGATAATTATTTGTTGAATAAACATATTATCTGATATTTATATCTATTTATATTTCTATTATTTAGATAATTTACTTAAATTATCTGTATTAAAGTATATTCAGTTCTATACCAAATAGTATTTGAATTTTATTATATATTCTATTATCTGGATAATCTAAATAGAAAATTTAATACTAATATTACAATTAAATATATACTATATAGAATATAATTAATCAAAAATATATAATAATAATAATAATTAATAAAAACTCTTTCTCATACTCTACCAAAACAAAATAAACAATAGGGAAATCAGTTTTTATTGACAAAATACAATAATAAAATAATTAATTAATAAACTAAAGTAACCAGGCATTCATCACAGAACAGAACACACAAAGATTAAGAGGAGGAAGATATACACGACTACTTCACTAACTACTTCTACAGACTTGTTGCTGACCATGTCAGCAACAAACAATACTGATGCTATTACACCTATAGACAGTGAAATGGATATATATATAGAACTAAGCAATACAGACATAGAACTAAAGAGTTATACTTCAAAGAGAGTTAAAAGAAGCAATACAAATATCTCTACAAGCTAGTCTAATACTCTACAATATTCTCTCTTGTTAACTCCAAAAAGTGGTGATTGCTTATCACCTCTAACAAAATAAAAAATGACATCATCACAAGCTACAATCACAACAGATCAAAATATTCTCACGCCTCAACACAATACCTAGACTATAGGGAAAAAAACCTATACTTGATCAATATAGCAACAAATGATAATGCAGCAACAGATACAAACCTTTTAAAAGTTGCTATAACAGACTATACTACTAATAAAGTTAAAAGCATGAAATTAGAGTTACAATCCAATGATACTATCTCTCTGTCCTCTCATAGCTTATCTCCAACTAAACTTACATATAGCTCAGCACTTAGAGCTAATATAGTTGATACACCAAATATTAGAAATATGACAGAGATATAGCAGAACCAGATTATGATAGCTCTATAAAATAAGCTTAAACAAACCTTCAATACCCAGACCTGGCACTTTCAAAAAATCATAGATGCTTTTACATCACGTGAAGCACTAGAGATATTTTTGCAACACAAGATGACAACTAAACCAACTAATATAGTAATGCCAATAGCAATTGCACTAAAATTTAAGCATCGTGATATAGCCTTTTTAGAACTTTTACTTGCAATAAGGCAACTGAACCACAAGACCAAACAGAGTTCAACTGACTATTAATAGCTGCACTAGAAAAATATAAAAAACAATATGATGTCTTACTTATCAACAAACATAATAGGAATCAAATATTCTAAATGCTCAAACAAAAACTAGAAATTGACCATATCCAAAATATAGATATTTAGCTTATTAGTCCTCATGAAGCAACACAATTATTATTTTACTATATTCACTTCACACAAATACCATGTGGAATATCATTTGAACAAGTATGCTCAATAATTCAAAATATTATTGCAAACCAGCTTCAACTATTATCAACTTCACCTGATCTTATATCTGATCATATCAGCAAAATTATTCCTTTTAGTCTACCTATTACAGACTATAGGCAGACAGGATCAATTATATCATCACTTAGGAAAATTTTTACCTTTACAACACTGCCAGATACGTACTTCTCTGATACACACATAGAACTGCCTGAAGATCCATCGAAGCTAGATGAATTAGTTAGAGAAATGTTTCCTATTACTAATTAGTCACAATTAGCAAGACTTAGATACTACAAAGAGAAACTAAATATACAATATAAATGTAGACATATACTAGTATCATACTTTGACTTGTCACTATCTAAATTTGAATTACCTCTTACACCTCAGGAATTAAAGCCTATGCTAAGGAATGATTTCTTATTTCAACTCAAAGATGCTAGTGATTTTAGGCGACATGTAGATTTACTACGAGAGTACTACCAATTTAAAAAAATGCTAAATGATTATATTACAGCCAAAAGATACCTACCAACTGATCCAAACACAGTGAATACACAGACAAAATATATATTTCCAATAACAGATACCACTATAGCAAAAAGATTTCTTACTGAAATCAAACATATATATCATATTCCAATACCAATTCCACTTGTCTATATGACAGTTAACCCAACAGAGAAGCCTAATTTGCTATGGGATCCAAGACAAGTAGAAAATATTAGTATTAATATACCAATTACTACTCCTAAAGCATTAACTGAAACAGCAAGAGCACTTCATCAGTATTACTATTTTTACAAAATACTAGAGACATGAATACAGATTCTAGATGAAAAAAGTGAAATCAAACTTCCAACATCTATAGAAGGTTTTAATACCTATATGAGCAACCAAAATGAGGAAACTCGAGCATTATTCCTAGTTGGCTTATATAAAAAACTACCTCAAGCTATTGCATTCTTACTAGAACACTTTAATACTACTGTACTACTCACATATCTTAACAGACTTCCTGACTTATCTACACCACTTTGGAATCTATTTGATGAGAACAACATCAACAAACAATAATATGAATAACCAAGATCCAACTATACAAAACCTACATACTGAAACAAGTGAACATACCACTAATATAGCTAACCTACAAGCCAATAATCAATTTACAAATATATTAAGCTCATATACCATTGCTAATGAACAACTTACTAATTTAAAAATAGCAGTACATAACATACAGGGCATTAATATGATACTAAAAAGAAATTTATGGCTAGAATATTGTGATAGACAAAACTATCACATAGTTATTATGACAGAGACAAAACTCACTGAATCTCAGAATCTTAAGAGAGCTCTAATCAACTCAATATATAAGATATATACATCATGCATGACAACAAGTCAAGTAAAAACAAGAGAATCAGCATTCAGTACAGCAATAACAATTAGACATCATCTACAACATTATATACACGATATACAAACAATACCAAGTACTGCAATGTATATAGATTTCTTCTTTCCACAAAATAACAGAACTAGAATTATTGCAGTGTATCTACCAAGCAACAATAGCAATTTATCCAAACAAAC